GATTAAATAATAAACTTATTTTTATTTGCTTACATGTAAAACTGTGATCCAGATCTGTTCTACAGAAGAAACATAACACAGCTTCACATTCAATCTTCCAAAGTCTCGTTCATCACCTGATAATGTAATAGTATCTACGGGAGAAAGCCAATGAATTTTTAGAAGCAATGCACTATCTTAGAAGATCTTTCTTTCTTAGTACAAAATGAGTAGATAGACTGCTTATCTTTGAAAACTTCTCTCAAAGTAAGTGTGAAATATCTTAACCCCTACCTTGTAAGGACAAAATATCTACCAAGTCATATAGCCTGACTTTATGCGTAGCTAAAACCCTTCACATTTCTTAGAACAGAATCACAGAATCATAAAACACCCTGAGTTGGAAGGGATAGTTTCACCAAAGTCCAACTCCTAGCCCTGCACAGGACTGTCCCAAGAATCACACTGTGTGCCTGAGTTATCTCTACTGAATTCAGTAACTTGTGTTGTACTCAAACAACTTTTGGAAAGAACAAAAGCATTTGTCTGAGACACCCAGAACACATTTATTTTCTAACACTCACCTTAATCTCTTTAACTGTTAAGTTTATAAATTGGCCTCCTGTTTGTTTTTCTCAGATTTCAATTCCAGCCTAGTAAACATTTTACTATTATGCTTTCTCCATGTCAGAAGAGCCATTAATATCCAGCATTTTTCTGTCATGACTGGAACTAGGTCATTGTCCCCCAGTCTTCGTTTTGAGGAGATTGGGTGACATTCTGACTTCTAGCAGGCTGAATTGCATGAGGACTTGATTAATTTTTTAGTATCTCCACTTCTTCTACATTCTTTTATAAATAAGGATTCTGGGTTTGCATGCAATATTCTTGTCTAATGACCAGTGTGATATGAGTATTGGATTCCAGGCACTCCCCACAGGAAAATACTGATGCATGAAAAAAGGCTAGACCTGTAACCTAGTGGTGCATTCTATCCTAACAGAACATCTGTCATTTCTTAGTTCACTAGGGTAGTAAATGCAAGGATGGATTTTTTCAAAAGTATGAGAGCTCCTCAAAGTCTCATTTGCTCAGTCTCCTGACAACAGGAAGGTGCAAGTCCCAAACTCTTAATTTCACATTGCTATGTAACCTCCAATCTGACCTACTAGTCAGATTCATCTCAAGAAAAAAAATCAACAATATAAAGAGTTTAATATTTCAAGTGCAGAGGGAAATATTTTATCACAAGATAAACAAACAAAATATTTCGTTACAAGGTCAACAAACGAAACATTACCCAGGCTCCTGTTACTGCCTTGTGAATCCTTCCTGGAAGAGGTACTGCTAGGCACACTGGAGAATGAATCGTATCTCTGGGGGTAAAAAAATTAAATCACTTGATTTAGAGCAACAGATGCAAAAACCAGAGAGACTGAACTGTCAGTCAAGACATGGTGAAAACAAAATACCCCATTTCAAATAATTGCCTAATTCCCTGCTAGTCTCTTGATCCAGCAGCATGGAATTACTATTTCGATGCAAAGAGCTAATAGAGGACACATTTGACCAGCACAGAATTTTTTTTGTTCGTGGCTATATATATGCAACTTCATTGCTATGTAAAAGATGATTATTTAAAAATAAATGCAGTGGTTTGTGTCAACGGAAACTTCTAGTGTTCCACTTTCCAAATCACAAGATGATGAACCACAACCTGATGTTTGTCTTGTCCTGCCTAACAGCCTGCTCAGGTTTCTCAACAGCCTTGCTGGGCTGGAACAGCAGACCTCAGAGGAGACATCAGGAAAAACCTCTTGAAGTTGGTCAAGATGTTGAACTTTTCCCTCTAGTCCTCCCACAGTACAATGTCCTGCAGTGTTTACTTTGAAAACACAATGCAGCAGGAACAGATACACTGAGTAAGCTGAGTTCTCAGTATCACTGAAGTTACAAGGAGAACTCACCTGCATGGATCGATGAGGTGGATTTCTGAGATCAAACATTGAACGGCTCACATCAATGGATCCAGGCAAAGTACTAGGCCTTAAGTCACTAACTGAAAAGAGAAAGAGAACAATACAAATCATGTGAGCATCATTGCTAGAAAAAAATCATTAAGAAGCTTTTTTTTTAATATTTAAGTAGACCTATGGTAGAATTGAAACCTGGCTACATAACATCCAAGGAAGGACATCAGCACCTTTCCCCACTTCCCTTTTCCAAAACACTCTCCTGAAATGATGAAATGGAGAGCCACTAAAATATCTCAATTCCATCTTTGAGATAGTTGGAACTTACTTGGTCACATTAGTAGCACTGGTAGTAGGATGGGGAGGCTGCTTCAAAGATATTTCCTCAAGAGGAATGTTTTGGTTAGTAGAAGTTTTAACAAAACAAAAAAACCTTGTCTTGAAATCTAGTGAGCCAGAACTGGGGTTTAGCTTGATCTCCTTTGTAAAGCTTTTCCACAGTAAGGATTCCAGTGGCAAAAAACATGCTGCCTACTGAACTTGGCCTCATCCCTTTGGCTTCACTGATCACCGTGTCAAAGCACCATACTCCACACCCTTACTGGATCTCAGACAGTGCAAGTCTGAGCTCTAAGATGACACATAATTGTTATAGCACAAAAGCAAGATCTTTATTTTATGGGAGTGTAGTTTCAATAGCAGTTGGAAGTGGTTAAATAGATGCTATCAGTTTTCTCTTGACCTCAGTGCAATACAGAGCTAAAGGATGTTGTCTGTGCATATTATGCAGCAACAGTAGATTAAAGGTGAACCAGTGCCACTGTTTCAGGACTCTCTGGTGACTCCAGTAATGTTCAAGAGATTTTTAAAGCCTCTTAGCTTCAAAAATGGTCCATACTGAAAGGAATGAAAGTAGCATGGTTTAACTTCTAGGACTATCTGATGCAATGAATTGCCTTTTGTTGCAATGCTGTGTTATGGTATTGCATGCAGAAGACTTCCACTGCAATACATTGATAATATCTTAACAGAATTGCATCTCTCATTACTGAAAATTTATTTCCCTCTTATTGCTATCAAAAGAAATAACTAATTATACTTATTGTAAGGTGTGAAAATAAAGAATCATGCTTCCATTTCCCAAGGAAGAAAAGCAGAACAAAAGATGAAGAAAGTTTTGACAACAAGTTTTGGGAGGAAGAGGAAAGGAACAATATCATTTAGATAAAATTTAATAAAGGTCTCTATGTCTGGCATGAGTTCCAAATCCTCTCTTGCACATGACACAAATGGGCTGAGTTGTTCACTGAGTCTGGTGTAGAAATAGCATTTTAATATCACACAAGGCCAAGAAAACTTGTTTGATATAATGGGAGCAAATAGGACAGACAAGACTATTTCTTGATTTGAAATTGATTATGGTTCTGCAAAATAATTCTGTATTCAGGACTCATAACTTTTGCAAACTACTGGAAATTATTTGCTTGAGCCTACAGGTTACCAATCACCAAAACGCTTTAAAGGCACTATGATCATATAAAAATATGTTATTTACCAACAGTAGCTAGAATTTAGGAAAAACATTAATTAATTTATTTTTCAGTTTGTGTGGGGTTTTTTTTAAGATGAAAAGGAGGAACTTCATGTTAAAATTCAAGAATTTTACTTCATATTTCCAGATAAACACATTCTGTAATTCTAAACTCAGACACGTGAAAAATATCATAGCACTTGCTGCAACAAATAGGCTTAGAGTTTTGTCTAGTCTATAGATGAACATGAAGAGAATCATCTAACTTCTGAAACAGCTGTGAAAAAACTCTGGAGGAAGAAGACATTGTAGAACTGTACTCTAGATACACCAGAGTAACCTTTCTTGTGTTTAAACTTACTAAGACAAAACTAGTAAAGTGTTTACTTAGCTTGAAGAAAAATGGAAAAAGAGATGAAGAGCTGAAGGGAAGATGTTCAAGACAGTTTTATACAACCCATTTGGCTCCCATCACAGGTGCTTACAAAGCCTAGCAAAACCATATGTGTTAAAGGCTGCTAAAATTCTATGTGTGCTTTGCTCCCTTAAAAAAAAAGTAGTAGTCTTTTCATGTAGTCTCTATGGTGATTCAGAATTATTTTTAAAACAGGACACAGACTGAGACATTTTCCCCCAGCTGTAAAATAAGCATGCTATAGCATTCTAAATAAAACATCTTTTAAACTGCATGCTGTTGCCAGCTTCTGACTGAACAGAGAGATGTGCACAGCTCTTCCAGTGTATGAGTTTTCTGAATGCATTTGCCTTAGCAATCACTTAGAGCAAGCAACACCTAGTCACCTACTTCAGTCATTCGTTGTAGGATACATATGCCAATGAGTGTCACAGAGGACAGTTTTTACCTAGTTAGCCAAACACTTTCTGCCTAAACTTTGACTATCACACAGCCCACCCCCATTCTTACACACAATGAGAAGTGGGGGCATTTCTGTAGCTTCAAAAGCAAACTACAAAAAAGCTGGAATACAGATGGCACCATGTCCCATTCTGCATCTGTTCTTATCAGCTGCTCCCAAATAGTTTTTTGGTGCTTGTTCCTCTCCCCATATATGTACTTCTCGGGTACTCAACATACTGCCCGACTTCCTTTTTCCATCTCCCTCACTGCTATAACTGGTAGCTGAAGTCTCCAGTACTGAATCCTGGTTTGGATAAGAGGCAGCTCAGCAGCTTGTTTTGCCAATTTCTCTACCTTTGTGTGATGCATGCAAACCTTGTTAAGCCCCCAGAAGACAAAGAATGGTGCAGTTGAAAATCAAGCAGAGCTGGCTCTATGGGCTGATTCACCAACCAAGAAGTGTCCATAGCATACAGTCCAACTTGACAACTCCTATAATCAAACAAGTCTTCTGTAGACTGATTGGTTTTTTCCCCCTTACCTATAAACCCTGGAAAAGGGAGGAAGGCAGAAGAGTAAGGGTGTGGTCCTTCTCACCTGATCCATATAATTTCCTGTTTTCTGGTTTTGCTTGGCCACGCCTAATCAGATCTGGCGAAATGCGATGCTCCAGATAGAACGGGTTGTACACATCGTAGCGAGGCCACTGGTACAGGCCGTGCAGTTCTGCTTTCCGCTCACCACACGAGGCTCTGGCAGATTCTGTGGAGCACAAGTAATCATCAAATGCAAGAGTTCCAGACATAACACATGCTGCCTGGCTTCATAAAGCAGGCAGAGTGCCTTCAGGGCAAAGGACAAAGTATTTCAATATTATCTACTCTGGGTAAAGGGGGAAAAAAAAGGAAAAGAAAACACACACATTATGTCAGGTTTCCACAGTGTGTGAGCAAACACTGGAATTAAATTGGCCATAAAAACTATGCATACCCTGTCTTGGAGTTTCGCAGTAAATGCCTAAGTAGTTAAAATACAGAAAGCTCCAAAGACAGACAGCAAGACAGAAATGAACAGGGAAAGTAGGGTCATGTGTACAGAAAGCCTCCAATTTATTTCCCTACCTACCCCCAGAATATTCCCCCTTGGCTAATAGCCCCCAAGACCTTCAGGAAGATCTTGTATGGAAAGATAATGCAGCTTGTGACTGCAGTTGCCTTGTTATCTAGTTTCCATGGGAAATCTGTCCATGGTAAAATCACTGGTTCAAAATGACTTGAATTGTTGGCTGAGGCACAAGTAGACATATCTGGGAATGCTTGAATCCCAGCCCTTTACTCAGCCCATAATCATTTCAGAAATAACATGCATGTCTTGGTCACTGTAACACAGTGAAAATAAGCCATATGTAGCAGTGCATTAGAGAATGGGATGACCTGGATTCTGCCAAACTCTTTTGTTTCCCTCACTTCACCTCCCAGGACTTTAACCTCTCTGTTCCAAAGTTCTTCGCCCCACAATAACGAACCCTCAATTCTGCAAGTGTGTGTTGCACCCTAAGAGGCAAACTGTGGCGTATCATGGCTGCAAAATCCTTTCCTCCATGTGTTAGTAGAGTAAAAAAAGAATAACTAAAACAGTGAGATGGAACATGAGTGATGATAAAGCAAGAATTCAAGTGTAATGGGCTTGAGCATGACGTAAATGAGGATGAATGCTAGAAGTGAGGCCATAAAGAATTGCTACACAGCAGATGATGGAAAAGCCAGTGTTCCAGACTAGGAGCACACTTCTTCCTGCTCTCTTACTTCTGTGAGAGCATGAGACATGCTGCAGTGAGTACTGAAGAGAAAGACTGCCAAAACTTAATTGCTTTCAGAAGGCAGGCCAAGAGCTAACACTGAGCATGTCCTTTTTCACTAAAGGAAAATGGCAAGACATGCACAGAAAATGGAGTGGAACTCAGAGTAGAACTTGGACTTCTACAGATGCTAACTGGTCAAAGAAAAAATTACTTCAAATAAATTTTTTGAGTATGCTGGTGCTTTGGCCAGTGTGAAGAAGGAATGACAGCACACTTCACTGTATTTAGTAAAAATCCCTAAAAAGTAAACGCTGAATTTTTCAACACAACTTTAATGAGGTTTAAAAAGCTGGACTTTAAAAATAAGTATTTATATTTGCAAAGAGAAATGAAAGTTGCCTACTTGACATAAGAGCCACTTTTCAAATATTTGCTCAAGAGACACAATTATGAAGTGTCAGGTCATCCTGCCAGAAGATCTACTGGCTTATAGCCCAAGGGCTACTCCGTGCACCAGGTCCTTCAGAAATGATCAGGAAGCAGAATTCCCTGTGAAGATAAGTCACTGACTTGTAAGTCACTGACTGTTAAGATTGTGTACAACAGCAAAACCAAAGAAAATATTCATCCAAAGGCTGTCAGACACATCTACCTTCTCCCTGGAGAACATGCCTTAGAGTTCGTGGTGGACATCTCTGTACAGTATCCTGAGGACAAGACAGGACAAAGCAAGGCAGAGCCTGAACCCAGCCCCAGTGAGGAAAGGGATTACCAGGAGTGTGTCCGAGTATGTACCTACAAGAGCTAGCTACTGAAATAGCAGGCAAATGGAGAGGTCAGGCTCAGAGCTAAGGGGGACCTCAGATGTTCTACCTCCAGCTATTCAGTTGCCTGTTAATGTCTGGTGAGGCAAACATCACAAATAAAGCTCACCACAAAGACTGAGCACAGAATGGCCAGTCTATACTGAGAAGCTCTGCTAGGCTGATTAGTTTGGCTCTGGTGCCAGTGTCACCAGCAGTGGTGAGTGAGGAGGAAGTTTGGCAATAGGCTTGCAGGAGGAGAAAAGAACCAACAGCAAGGCCCTAGTGAGAAGAGAGAAGGGTGGCAGTAAAACCACACAAACACAAAATAAATTAGGCAGTGCTGCATTAGTTATTATGCAACATGTGGTTAACTTTTTTCAGTTTTTAAGGTTTTCAATTTCAAAAAAGAAATACAGTCACATGGGACTAAAAGCATATTACCAGCTTATCACATCCTTAAGGTAAAGCAATGCTATAGAAAACAAGTGTTCAGGTATGTCCCAGTGCCAAAATTTTTCCCTACCTAATTCTAGGCATCTCCTGGCAGGACTAAGAGCCTAACGATAGCATATCATAGAATCAACCAGGTTGGAAGAGACCTCAAAGATCATCGAGTCCAGCCCTACTGTGGTTACTAGACCATGGCACTAAGTGCCACATCCAGTCTCATCTTGAAGACCTTCAGGGATGGTGAATCCACCACCTCCCCATATGCCTCATAGCTCATTGTTACTGGGCCAGGATCCTGTTCTTTTAAAATGCCACTGTGTCTAAGTTGCACATACATAATTTTGGCACTTTGAGTATGGAACTAACATGCAGAGGTTGAAGCACAAGATTGCTGTGAAGCAAAGAATCATAGTATCACATGCAACCTCATACTCCTGAGGTCTGTGCCCCCTGGCCTCCCAAAAAAAGCAGCAAAATGAGCAGGAAATAGAAGGGACAAGAAATTCTGCCAAGTAGTAGCACATGCTATCTATTGGCAAAATTTGAAAAGGAAGATATGTTAGTATGTTAAAACATATCAGTACATCAACTATGAAAGCCAGACCACCCTCCTCCTTTCACAGGAGTGGTCTGGATGCTGGGGATGTGTTAGGTCTTTCCTTGCCTCTAGTAAATTCTTTACTAAAGATCCCATTTCCTTTAAGTGTGTTCCATTACTTTTGAATATGAGCAGTGGTGTGCAATCCTCCCTTTCGGTTTTATGCATGCAGCATCATAGAGATTCATAGTGGAATGACATACTTCCCCAAAGCTCTCTGGGTGTGCAGAGTGAGAAGAAGCTTGCCAGGCTCCCCAGGCAAGTGGTCACAGCCCCAAGCCTGACAGAGTTCAAGAAGCATTTGGACAAGACTCTCAGGCACATGATATGAGCAGTGGTGTGCAATCCTCCCTTTCGGTTTTATGCATGCAGCATCATAGAGATTCATAGTGGAATGACATACTTCCCCAAAGCTCTCTGGGTGTGCAGAGTGAGAAGAAGCTTGCCAGGCTCCCCAGGCAAGTGGTCACAGCCCCAAGCCTGACAGAGTTCAAGAAGCATTTGGACAAGACTCTCAGGCACATGGTGTGATTCTTGGGGCTGTTCTGTTCTGGGCCAGGAGTTGGACTTTGATGATCCCCATGGGTCCCTTCCAACTCAAGTTTATTCTATGATTCTACGAAACAAGACCAGGTTTCTAGAAAAGTTCTGCAAACATATGTTTTCAGTAGGAATGTTTGAAAACTTTCGAGGAGTAGCAGAAACTAAACAACTATTTCAGCAACGCTGTTTGCATTTTACCTTTAATCCCTCCAGCATGAGGGATACTAGGAAGGTTCTTCGGCTGTACATAAGCCAATTTGAATGGAGGGACCACAAATGGTACCTCCTGACCATCCAGGGGCAGTTTAGAAAGCAAATAATCCTCTGAGCAGCCAACTTGACGCTTCACTGACACAGAAGACAATGGAGGCTTCTCTACAATAGTTGGCTTGCTTTCAGCTGCTGCTTCAGAGTCCTGCACCATGGAAACTGCTAAAAATAAAGAGCAAGAAAAACAGACAGTCCACATGAGCATTACTTTTTGAACAATACTATGAACAGATATCTTTTATTTAATAGTATCTGTGCTTGATACACTATTATACTGCTAGTATTCAGTTTTACAGCATTCAGGAGTAGTACCTGGAAAGGATATTCATCCTCCTGACACCTCTACTCATCCAAACTCTTTGTTGCCCAAGCTTCTGTATTTATAGCTACCTTCCTCTTAAGTGAAATTTCCAAGAGCTACTCTTGTGTCATAGAAGAGTTCTTCAGACAACTAAGATACCAAAGAAATTCGTAACAGCAAATCCACAGAATTTTTTTTTTTAAAAAAAAAAAGCTTTCCAATTCTGAGAGTTTGAAAGATACAAGACCTTCACATAACCTTGGGTGAAAACGCTGGCTGTTTTGGACAGCGTTTTAGGCTCTAAAGAGCAAGCTTCAGACAAGTGGTGCTTCTCAGTTCCAATTCCAGTTCGTAACAAGACCAAGCATATGTTCAATCTCCAAGTGGAGGTATGGAAAGAATTTTGGATGTTGTAAAAGAATCCAAGTTTATCAGGGGTGACACAGTAGTTTTATTAATGGGAAATCTCATCATTAATGAAGCCAGAACAACAAAACCATTAGTATATGTCATTATGTTAGAACTCACGATCATTTTTTTCTTTGTCCATGCAGAAACACCATTTACAGCAAGTTTTTATACATTCTATTGCCATTTTTTTTGGTGTTGCAGTTTAGAGGGGACCACGATCCAAGATCCAGTGCAGCTATAGAACCTGAAAAACACAACAAGCCAAACCATAATAGATGGCGATAACCGAAATTAGAATGCAATGTTATCAGTTATTTTATATGCAGTTCCTTATCAGACACAGTCCCAGGGTCAATGAGAAAGTTACGTCAGTCACGAAAGGCTCAGAGCCATCAGATTTCGCTCACTAAGACAAAATATTTTTACATAAAAGCACAAGGAAAGAGATAATAATTTTAACATGGGGCATTCAAATATTCTCAGTGATCCACTCAGACAGGTGCCTGTCTTTTGGGAACACTAAGATTCTCCTCACAGTTGTGTGTGCCACTGTGCTTTGGAGTTCACTCAGCTTTACAGCTGTTTTGACAAGGTCTTGTTAAGCCATTTGCAGGATGTGTTTTTTATTCCTTTTCCCTTGTTCATGTTTCTCCTATCTTCTTTCACTCCTCTACTATTTTCACATACATCTATACATGTTTACATTTTTCACTCAACATACTCCATGCTTTTAATTTGAAAACACTCCTTCTGAGTGATGCCAAAATTGCCTTCTTTGAGGAACTACTGCTTTCTCATAATTGTATACGCATGAAACCGAAGACCTGGTTTATTATATAATTGTCTGCTGTGCATACAGAAATAGAGCACGCTGACTTTCAGCAAAATAAGAGGCATGTAATCCACTAAAGAATGAGAACAAGTCTCTAACAGCTGGTTAACATTAAAAGAACTTTAGGACAATGCTAACTGGCCTCATTTAAATGTCTTTATTCATATCCTTATGTTCTCTTTTCAGAGAGACACAGACAGCTGCGTTGCCTCCTGTCCAAAACTTTAGCTGTCTAAGTCTAGTCCTTTTTCATCCACCTAAAGTACACAAGGTTCTTAGTAGAACATACCCAAGACACGATTCTAACTCCATGGAGGTTAGAAGGCACCAAACAGAACATGAACATAAGTGGAAGGGATGGAGAAGACAACAAGTAAAATCAAGGAGCAAAACACAGAGAAAATATGCCAATTGCACAAAAATGGATGTGTTTGCTCAGTTATCTCAGTTTTTAGTAATTGCTGAAAGCATCTGTGCCCCAACACAGAAGCCATTCCCACCTGCAGCTTGAACAGTGCCATAATTTTCTTTGTCTGTGTATTCAGAGACAGCTAGAGAACCACACAAATTTCATGGAAATAAGTCCAATATCCCCCAAATTATTTCTTTCATTAAAAGCTCCTCAAATTTCTAATGGGTGCCAACTGGAGGTACTATGCTAGGGATACTTCATCTAACTTAGGAAACATATGCTTTCTTGTCTCAACCTTATTTATTCCCATGGGTAGGGCACAACTGAAAGTTAATCTTAATCATAAGCTATCACAAAGTACTGATTGGAAGGAAATTCCCATTAAACCTAAACCTAAGTAAGCCATTATTCTACTGCAATGAGGACCTAAGGGAACATTTGGTTTAATACAATTTCTCTGAATAATTTTTGCTGGTTTTACCACTAAGTGATATTAATTATTTCCCCTAGTTTAATACTACTCTTTGTATTCAATAGAGCAAAATGCAAGTGACCTGAATATAAGAATCCTGAGGTGTTTAGTAGCCTAAGTATTGACACATACTATTCTGGAAAACAGAATAGGCTACTGAAGAGATTACAGCATAGTCTCAAACCAGATAGGACAAGGGTGCAATATTCCACTTTAAAAAGGACACCATTGCTCTGCACAGAATCATCACTCAGTGCTTGTCTTGATCTCAAAACTGCCCATGAGTGTAAGTACAGCATGAGATCTGCATCAAAAATCTTCAGAGGTGATGCCACCAGTTCCAGAACCTGATCTGCATCTTTACAGAAGCACAGGAAGAAGCATGGGAATTTCTCATTAAATTCTTCCTGTTTCTAAGGATCAGCTTTTCACTGCTGCTCCTCTCTTGGAGATGCACTCACAATAGCTAAGCCTGCTTAGGGTTCCCTCGCAGTGATTTTCCTTCCCAGCTGTTATCAGTACACAGCTGGAGTTAATATGCTTCACTCTTGTTCACCATGTTTAAACTGGGCTGAAACAGCTGCTCTGTTTGCTCTAAGCTTTGCAACAATGGTATCTAAGCCTCAGTGGCAGTTTGCACAGGCGAAACAGACTTTTATCTCAAAACGTCCAGATTGTATTTATTCGCTACTGCTGGTGAAGAAACCAAAATGTTAGTAACCACCCTACTTTCCAGCTACATAAAGTGGAAAAATTGCTTTTTCTGCATCAGAGAAAATTCAGTTCATGGTAGTGAATTGTTTAGCTGGAACCATCGACGTAGGCAAATAAACAAATGTAACCTGTCTGTTACAAGCAGCTGCCTTTCCATCACAGGGTGAGTGCCTTACCTAGAAAGAAATGGCTACATGTGGGCATGTCATAATACATCTACATAATTCTACCTCTTCTGTACTTCTATCATTAAAATAGACCATGTTTTTCATGGTAACTCCATGGCACCTGTGATAGTCTTTAACCATCACTTTTTCCCCCCATTTATCAATACACAAACATTCAACATTTTTTCTATCTGAAGACAAACATAAAGCAATTCATCACTGCCTACTGTACAGAAGAGAGTACACTATTTGCAGACTACTGTTTTGTAGGCAAGGTGATATCAGTAGCCAAAGTACATAGACATATCTTAGAGTCTCCATTTCAGTTTTAGCTTAAATACAGGATTTTGAAAAGAAAGTTCCAAGAGTAAGAGACTGTAACACCATTTACACTTTCTTTAAGCTTAAAAACATACTGGTTTTCAGTGACAAAACTTGCACTTGGGTTCCTAGACTTATACCACAGCCACTTTATGAAAAAGTGACAGACAGCATTTGCTGAGGAACAGGTCAGCTAGACACAGTGTTCCCTCACTCTGCTTAGAGCACTTTGCTTTGTTTGTGAAATCACAACATGGATGGTCTCAATTACTTTTAAAAGTTTTAATTCACTTAATCAAGCTACAGTGATACATATATTTGGTTTTTTTGTTTATTTCAGAAGAGCAATTCTGGCAGTAAATTAGATGGCTTGGATCCCAGTTAATATATTTTCTCATATCTGTATGTTCCAAGCTGCCTACAGCTAGTTTCACTGCATGCAAAGGTTTTTTCTTAACCGTGTGGGAGAGAAAGAAATTTAGCATGTTCTGTTGTGTATTTTATTAACTGAAAATGAACAAAATTATTGTAGAAGATTGAACAAGTACTTAATGATCTTAACAGAAGTTGACATTTCTATCAAAGGTTAAACTTCTCCCACATGCCAAAACCTTTTGCTGGTGCTGGCTACCCATAAGTCCTCACTATGTTATTTAACAGTTGTTAAAAGGTAGTACTAACATGAATTTGTTTGGGAATACATTTATGAAACAAACCTGAACCACAGAGACATTTGTTAGGTGCGCCACTAGATTCCAAAGTACTGACTTCCCAGCAATGTCATCCATCATAACAAGACATTAGGACTCCTTGACACTATGTTTTGGGGTCAGTTTTTGATAGGCAATGTACATTTATCAAGGACATCCTTCATTTTGGAGATACTAGACTGAGAAAAGAACAGGGAAAAAGGAGAATTATCCCTCATTTCCAGACAAAAAAACCTGTTAAAAAACAGGAGAAGAGGGAACTGAACGCTGATCTTGTCACTGTGTCTCAAATTCTTTCTCGGTGTCTTCTACCAATTTCTCTATGCCTTTTCATCTCTCTCTTCCCAGTATTGAGCCAAAACAAGATAATAAAATGTAACTTAGCAATAGTACTTCCACACTAAGGCAGAAAGAGAGCCAAAATGTAAAAACCAACCACACACATACACTGAGCCTAGAGAATTACAATCACTGTTATTTTAATGGGTTTAGATAGAAAACATAAATTATCTAAATGATTTCCAGATTTCTCTGATAGAAATTTTGACTGAGCTAAAATCAGATAAACACAGTATCAAAGACTTTAGTTCCAGATGCCTCCAGAACCATTACCAGACAGAGATGTTTGGAGAAGAAAGTAAATATTTTCAACAACTCATTAAATGAGAAGAACATGATAGAAAACGGGTGATCAAAATACTAAATATTAAAACCTGACTGAAAGCAGTCTGGAAAGAAATGTCAGGTCTTTGCTGCCTTATGAGGAAAGGGTGTGTTTTGCAACAGGTTTGTAGGCTGCCAATAGATTTTGCTGCATTTAATCACAGCACTGCTCCATAGGAGTTGAACAGGTAACATTTAAAACTATGCAAGAGAAACAAAGGTGAAGTAGCTGTTCTCAAACTGGGGAAGTTGGCTGAACCAGAGGTTCCAAATGTCGTCAGATTTATTGTCAGTCATAAATGTATTAAAAGTGTTCTCAGATCTGCATTTCAGAAACACATCATGGCAAAATTCTAGTAGCAGTAAGTTCTCACAAAGCAGGATGTGTAAAAGAAAGCATCCAGAAACAGGGATGATCTGCTGTTATTAGGCATTTGGGACAGATCTGAGAATGACAAGCGTCTACAACTGCAGGAACTCCAGTGGAGCCACGACAGTGTGCAACACCTGAGCATCTGCCCTGTGGAGAAAGTGGGCTCGAGGCTGCTGGTTTACACCTCAGCCAAACATCACATTTATGGCACCTCTGTGCCTTTCTGCCTCTCGGATCCAGAAGATGTAGTCAATCCCAGTCACATAAACCCTCCAAAGAGTGTAACAGTACCACCTCAGGTCTCCAGATGTTTAACAGAAACACAGCACAGCGTAAGATGGATAATCTTTTGACTGTGCAGATGCTGTTTAACTTCCACAGCCAGCTGCTTTGTAGTTTTGATTCTGGGGGAGAGTGTCTGGGAGCTGTGCACTGCTCTGAGCACAGCTGTCCATCTGAAGGGAGGTGGCTTGTGACCACTGTATCTCTAAACTGGACAACACTTTTAAAACAGCTTTAA